GAGAGGGAGGGAGGAAGGGAGGGAGGGAGGGAGGGAGGGAGGGAGGGAAGGAAGGAAGGAAGGAAGGAAGGAAGGAAGGAAGGAAGGAAGTTCCTTTATATAGATTTGCAGTCACTGTCTTGCTTTTTTTTAACTGTAAGTCATTAATGAATCTGGCTTTTGTTCTCTTTTCCTTTCCTTGTCCCAGGTTCACGGGGACATGTTTTCATAGGGGACAGCTTCTAGGAAGGGACTATGAACTGAGATTTCCACTATCAGCAGTGCACCCCAGGCAGGGATGTCCTAAAGATATCCTGCACCAGGCACAGCTGCACAAAGATGCCCTTGTGGTCATCAAGAAAGAGATGGATCAGCCCAGGCCCTCCACCAGGCAGAAGCCTCCACGGTCAAGGGGAGGGGGATGCTGTCCAGAAAGGCCATTCCCCCTGGAGCCTGGAATTGGCAAGATATCAATTCAGCAACTAGCAGCAGGGTGTGAGCAACAGGCAGAAAGAGAAGATTCTGGATGAACAAAAGGAAAATAACAGCCAACTTCTGGGTCCAGAAACTGTAATGCAGCAAAGGCTAGTGTGTTTTGGATGCTTCTTGCAAAAGCAGTGTTACAAATACGTTACAAAAATTTCCCAGGTGTTCCAGTCACACTCTTTTGTTTTTGTTTGTAGTGGTGGTATTTTGTTTGTTTTTGTTTTTATTTTTGTTTAGAGTTGAGGTCTCTCTCTGTCTCCCAGGATGGAGCGCAGTGGCATGATCACGGCTCACCGCTGCCTCAACCTCCTGGGCTCAGGAGATCCTTCCACCTCAGCCTCCTGAGTAGCTGGTACAACAGTCACATGATTTTTTGGTTTTTTGGTAGAGATAAGATCTCACTACGTTGCCTATATTGCCTAGGCTGATCTTTGCAAGCCATACTTCGGAGGATGTAAAATGATTGTGAGAGAGTCTCTACATTTCCCTAAGGAAGAATCCCTATCCTAGTCACACCCTCTTGTTAGGTCCACTAAGTGAAACAGAAAACACATGTGATGGGGGAGTCCGCATGGAAGGAGATATGCCAGAACCAAGACTGATTCTTGGGAAACAGCAAGGGGGTTTTCTTTACTGTTTTAGAAGAACAAAAGGAAATGAAGAAGCAGAAGTGTTTTGTGATTGAAAACAGAGACTGCAGTCTTAGCCAGCAGAGAGAACTTGCTAGAAGAGGTTCCAAAAGAGATTTCCTACGTGCCCTCCACACTCAGAGGCTAAAACTAAGTGTGGTGTCTGCTTCTGCTGTGCAGGATGTTTACTGCCCCTAGTTAAGCACTGCAGAAGTCTGAGGTGTTCTCCACCTCCGCATTCAGGGGCAGCATCTCTCTCTAGCCAAGTGGGCAATACAGTTTACAGAATTCAGGTCGGGCATTGCCTTGTGGAAGGAATCTTCTGTTTCTTCTCATTGTGTCGCCCTGGTAAGGTCAAGGGTAGCTGGATTCCTTCGCACAATGTGGCCTTGTTGTGGCCTGAGGTATTTGTAAAGGCTTTGCTAAAAATGGCTCTGAACAGATAAGAAGTGACTCTTGTCCAGACGACTCCTCAGTGGTGCTGCCCCAGTCCTCCTCTTCCTCTGTCACCCCACCTTCCCTCTTCCGGAGCGCTGAAGCCCTCCCAATATTGAGATGATCTTAGTCATCAGACCTTGCCATGCTCGCCTTTGCCCCTGCACTGTCTCCACGGCCTGGTGGATTCTCAGTGGGATCCTAGAAACTTAAACTGTCAAAGAAAGCCACCTGGTACTTAATTCTAACAGCTTCCAGAGGTTTGAAGCCTTGTGAAGTCAGGCATGGAAGGTTATCCTGTTATTTATAATGAGTATTGCTGGAGCATTTTTAATGGGTATGTGGCCTGAACCAGACCCTGCAGAGTTACCCAACTGAAAGCACTTTGAGGGCATAAACTCACTCCTAATCCATATTCCTGTTCTTTGAACTCCCTGCTCCAGGTCTACCTGGTCTCATGCAGTCATTCCTTGTCATGCACCGAGAAAGTCCGACGTGGAGTCTGTTGTGTTAAGTCCTGCTGGGGGCCTGCACATGAGAGGCACTTGAAGAGCTTTTTAAAAACCCTGATGCCCAGGAAATGCCCCCAGCTCAATTAATCACAAATGACAAGGGGTGGGGCCCACCAAGTGGTACTTTTTTTATTTTTTAATTTTTGAGTTTGAGTGTCACTTTGTCACCCAGGCTGGAGTGCAGTGGCACAATCACAGCTCACCACAGCCTCAACCTCCTGAGCTCGAGCAATCCTCCTGCCTCAGCCTCCTGAATAGCTGGGATTACGGGCATGGACCACTGCACTTGGCTTTTTCCTTTTTTTATATAGATGAGGTCTCACTATGTTGCCTAGGCTGGTCTCAAACTCCTGGACTCAAGCAGTCCTCCAACCTCAGCTTCCCAAAGTGCTGGCATTTCCGGAATAAGCTACTGTGCCTGCCCGAGCAGTGGCTTTTCCATGCTCCTGAGGGATTCTAGTACACAACCAGAGCAGAGAACCACTGTAATGGGCTCGTTTTCCTGCTTAACAGCAAGTCACCTGTTGAAAAATCGTGCTGCTCCCAGTGTCAGTAAATGTCCCTCAGGCCCTGCAGAGTGGCCTTCTGAAACCAGAATAATGAACTGGCCTTTGTGCGCAGAGGTGATGATGCAAGCTTGGCCTCAGTCATTATGAATCCATGAGGAGGGCAGTGTGACCCGCTCCTCCGAAAAGAGTGGATGCAAGTTCGTTGCCATGGAGCAGGTATTGCCATGGAAACGTGCCTGGTTCCCATGGAGGCAGCCAGTGTTTGTGTAAAGACAGCATGCGCAGAGGCAGGGTTTCCCCTTGCGGGAGCATGAGTGACAAGAGCGCTGGGGAAGAAAGTTCTGTGGCCACTTCAGGGGCCCCTGGAGTTGACTGTAACAGCCCCCATGAGGCTGGGTATTCAGGTGCTGCCAGCTTGCAGGGGTGATCCACTGCTATCGACAACCAGGGGTGGCAGAACTTGAACCTGGATTCCTCAAGTGAGACTCCAGTCCTTCCTGAGACGTGCACTCTCAGTGTGCGGGGCATAACAAGGGCCATCTGTCTCTGGGAATTTCTGCTTGGGCATAAAAGCATTCACCAAAGCTTGCAGAAAATACCCAGAAGAACAAAGGATGTGAGCACAGCAAGAAGGCAGCCAGGAGGGCAGCCCCCAAAGCTGGAGGACCACCCTTCATGCTGGGCTCAAATGTCAGAAGCACCTCAAGGCTCACGCCTGTAATCCCAGCACTTTGGGAGGCCGAGGTGAAAGGACTGCCTGACCACAGGTGTTCGAGACCAGCCTAGGTAACATAATCAGACTTCGTCTCTACAAAAAAATTTAAAAATTAGCCAGTGTGGTGGCATGTGACTGAAGTCCCAGCTGAGGGATAAGGATCACCTGAGCCCAGGAGGTTGAGGGTGCAGTGAGCTGCCGCTGTACCACTGCATTCCAGCCTGAGAGACAGAGTGAGACCCCAATTTAAAAAAAAATAAAAGCGCCTCAAGGTAGATAGGACTCGAGGTGCCTGGAATACACGGTGCCCGAGGTAAAGCATCTGGGGACTTGGAAAGGTGGCGCGATGAACAACCCCATCATTTCAACAGCATATTTAGACGAACACTGTTGCTGCAGGGGAAAACGTGACCGTCCATGATGCTCTGTGTGTCAAAGTGCTGAAGACCTCAGCGGGGCTAGCGTTGAGTCTGGATGGAGGAAAATCATCTGTGTCTAAAGATGGGTCCCTGGTCATTAAAAGAGTGTCCAAAGGAAATGTCCTAGAAAGCCTGTCTTCTTTCCATGTACATCTCAATGAAAAAGGCAGTCCTATCTATCTGAAAATCAAATTTTTTTTAATAGTCTAAAATTTTGTGACACACAGACTTTCCTGTGTCGGCTCTGTTGTATTTTAATGATATTAACTCTTTGTCCACTTGACAGTCTTACCAAGTAAGCAGAAGACAGGCGTGAATCAGAGGTCTGGTCTCTGTTGTGTGTGATGTCTGGACTGAAGGTACCGGGTTAGAGAGAAAACCTCAGACTGGGAACTGGTCAAGTTGACCAAGCAGTAGAACAAAGAGAGCCAAGCTCAGGCAAGCATGCAGCACTGCAACTGTAAGAGCTCTCCCAAGATACAGCAGCAGATGAGGGGTGCAGGGTGCAGAAGGACATTCATTGCCAGAACCCAATAAACAGGAGAGCCCATTAAAAATAAAGGCAGGAGGCCGGGTTCAGTGGCTCAGCCTGTAATCCCAGCACTTTGGGAGGTCAAGGAGAATGAATTACCTGAGCCCGTGGGTTTGAGACCAGCCTGAACAACTAGGCAAGACCTTGTCTCTATAATAAATTAAAAAATTAGCGTGTGCCTGTAGTTCCACCTACTTGGAAGACTGAGGTGGAAGGATTGCTGGAGCCCAGCAGGTCGACGCTGGGGTGACTGTGAGTGTGCCACTACACTCCAGGCTGGGCGACAGAGTGTTGGGAGCCAGCCATAGAGGCCTGCCTGCTGACAAAGTCCTGGGGGCTGACGACCTCAGGCTGCAAAGCAAGCCTGAGCAGCTGAAACCCTTACTTCTTCTATTTTTGTTATTAATGCAGCTGGAAAATTCTGTACAGTCTGAAGGCGAAAAACAAAACTCCAATTCATTCATTCATTGCCCCATACATAGAAGCCACAGTATTTTACAAGAAAAGGTTGTTTCTATCATTCCCCTATCTGGCTATGCCCCTAACCTCCTAGTGCTAGGCCTCATTGTCACTTTATCTAGTGTTATGGCTGAAAAACTCACAATGAGAACAGGAAGCATTCTTTCTGACACCCATAGAGAACTCCTTAATCTCGCCAAAGAGTCATGAGCAAAACCTTGAACACCAGGTGTGGATAGATAATTGCCTGGTAGAGTCACTTTTTAAATAACAATTAATTAGAGTTCCCAGAATGTTATTTTGCCATAGTAACTATAATTTGTATTGCGGCTTGCGTGTTAGGATACAGTCATTAACCATACTTATTTGAGCCTCTAACATAAAAAAAAAGCATTTCTATATTATGTTGTTCTTGCTATACAGAATTAGTATTGTAGAGTAACTTAAGCCTGATTTAAATATATGTTATTCAATAATCTTTAGACTGTAGTAATCATTGTAAAAATGATTTATAAACTTGTTTTTACAGTTTAAGTTGAAGTAAATTGGATGGATGAAACATTCATAGACATAATTAGATTAAGTTTTGTAAACTGAGGAAATTAACATGTCTAGTGTGCAATATTCTTTTAAAACTTATCATATGATTCATTTGCTGAGAAATTGTGTGGGCTACTTGAAACCCGGTTATTGTCATGGAGCACCTCAGGGGCTTCTAGAGATAACCAGCAACTTGAACGTCATAGATGATAAAAGAGAATAGCCTGCCTTGAAAATCACAAGACAGTGACTCTCCTGAGAAAGCATCTGTCTGTGAAAGAGTGCACGTCAGAGTGGCTCGTTAAAGAACACCTTACATGAACTACTTGTTCTGTTTTTTATCTCAGCCAAGGCTATTGTTTAAGTTATTGGTTACATCTTGTTGTAGGAATTTTCTTTGTCCTTTTCCTTGTACGAATAACATAAAAGCTCACTGTTAACTGACAATAAACAGCATCTGGCATCTGTCCTGCAACAAAGTCAGGTGTCCAAGTTTTCTCTCTGCATCGCCTACTCCGTTTCTCCTTCGGGAAACCCTAACCTGCTGGAGCTGGACTCCGGCAACAGAGTGAGACTCCAATTCAAAAAATAAAAAATAAAGACAGGCATTGTATTCATGAAACAAGACCATGAGGATATTAAAAGGAGCAAGCAGATAGGCTAAAAAACAAAATGCAAGCTGAGCACAGTGGCACACACCTCTAGTCCCAGCTACTCAGGAGGCTGAGGCAGGAGGATTATTTAAGGCCAGGATTGAGAGCATAGCCCGAATCATGTAGCAAGACACCATTTTTTAAAAACAAAAATTAAAAAACAAAATGAAGACACTTATACCTCCATCAATAATAATGGAGTCAGCTGGGTACAGTGGCTCAAGTCTGTAATCCCAGCACTTTGGGAGGCGAAGGTGAAAGGATTGTCTGAGACCAGGCGTTCGAGATCAGCCTGGGCAACTTGGTGAGACCTTGTCTCGACAATAACTCAAAATATTAGCTGGGCGAGGTGGCACCAATCTGTGGTTCCAGCTACTTGGAAGGCTGAGGTGGAAGGATCACCCGAACCTACAGGATAAGGCTGCAGCGACTGTGAGTGTGCCACTGCACTCCAGCTCAGGCAGCAGAGAGAGAGTCCAACTCAAAAACAAAAAGAAAGAAAGAAAAAAAAATGGAGTCCAATACATATTTTTGAATCAAATTAAAAAGTAGACTAAATTCCATATAAAGGCAGAAAAAAAGAGAGATAGAACCAAATAAACTATGGAAAATACAGCATAGTGAAATGAAGGAATAAAAATTACAAAAGTGTGATACAAGATAAGAAATTCCAAAAGGAAAAAAACAGAATGAGAGAAAGGAAATATTTGGAGAAATCATGACCAAGAATTTTCCAGAACAAAAAAAATTCATCAAGGGCAAAACAGGCTGAATTTTATAAAAATCAAAATCTTGATATACCACAGGAAAGTTCCATAATATAAATAAGAAAACCTAAAAAGCTAACAGAAAATGCACAGATTGCTCCCAAGGGCACCACAATCAGCTTGGCAGCACGAATGTCTGAAGAAAACAAAACAACAAACACCCTTCAGAGGATGGAGGGAACATTTCTGTGAGCTTAAAACAATGGACTCACTGGGCTCAGTGGCTCAGCCTGTAATCCTGCGCTTTGGGAGGCTGAGGTGAGTGGATTGCCTGAGCCCACGGGTTCGAGACCCACCTGGGCAACTTGGCGAGACCTCATCTCTACAATAAATCAAAAATTAGCTGGGCATGGTAGCACACGCCTGTAGTTCTGGCTACTTGGAAGGCTGAGGTGGGAGGATTGCCAGACCCCAGCAGGTCAAGGTTGCGGTGGCCGGGAGCATGGCACTGCACTCCAGTCTGGGTGACAGAGTGAGACTCCAACTCAAAACAAAAACAAAAACAAACAACAACAACAACAACAATGGACTCAGTTAAACTGTCCTTCAAGCGTGATGGCTAAGTTGGTTTATTCTAAGACACACTCATAGGCTCAGCATGGTGGTTTATGCCAGTAATCCCAGCACTTTGGTAGACCAAGTGGGAGGATTGCTTGAGCCCAGGACCAGCCTAGGCAACACAGTGAGACCTTGTCTCTTAAAAAAAAAAAGGAAAGGAAAACGCAGAAAGCACGATGGTGTGCCCTGACGTCCCAGTTACTCTGGAGTCTGAGGAGGAAGGATTGCCTAAGCCCACGAGTTCAAAGCGGCAGTGAGCAGTGATTGAGCCACTGTATTCCAACCAGGGAGACAGAGTGAGAGCCCGACTCTCAAAAAAAAAAGACAGGCTCATGAAGGGAGCTAGAGTGTCCACCTCCACAGCCAGTCACAGGATACGTGGCTTCTGCAGACCAAGAAGCACACAGTTCAAAAGGGTCCGAGACCCCTGAGTCCCAGGACCAGTGCTGAAGCAGCACTCAGGCTGAGTCAGCAGGAGAGGCCAGGCTCTGAGTCACCCAGTAGTAGCAGCACTAAAGTGGAAAAGTTGCCCCAGCAGAGAGGAGGAACCTCCAGATCTGCCTCCTGCAAAGCAGGGATATGACACCCAGGAGAACTTCTTGGCCCTTATCACTAGCATCTGACCAGAAATAAATAACAAGTGCTGCGGAAATGGACAGAGGAGGAAGAAGCAGCATCCCACAAACAACTGTTGTAGAAGGTCTCCTGGGCAAGGCTTTTGTTCCTGTGAAAAGGCATTCAGGAATTTCTGAACACTATATGGCAGCTCCCTCCCTCCTCTCATTTTGGAGACAAGAGAATCTAGTTGATTTGTGCAGACTTAGAGCTTATCTAAAGATTTCATCTTCTTACTGCATTTCATACTTTAAAATGTCATGGGTACTAGTTTTCTGTTCATTTTGTTTTCCTGTATGCTCTTCCTCAAGCAGAAAGCAACCTAGCAACACAGATTTTCCTTCCCTTCCCTCCCCCTTCCCCTTCCCCTTCCCCTTCCCCTTCCTCTTCTTTTCTTTCTTTCAGCGTCAGGGTATCACTCTGTCACCCAGGCTGGCACCCTGCAGCCTCAACCTCCTGGCCTATAGCGATCCTTCCACCAAAGTCTTCCAACTAACTGAGACTATAGATGTGCACTACCATGCCCAGTTAATTTTTTTTTTACTTTTTGTAGAAAAACTTTTTGAAAATTGCTATGTTTCCCAGACTGGTCTCGAAATTCTGGGCTCAAACAAGCTTTCCACCTCAGTCTCCCAAAGTGCTAGGATTACAGGCACAAATCACCATGTGCAGTCGTACAGTGATAATATGAAAGAGAATACAAAAATATGTTTGAATAACAAAGGAAATTAATATCAATATCCCTAAAACCTTCTTGAAGGTCAGGAATCTAATCCATGGAAAAAAAAAATTTTTAAATGTTCTTGCTGATTGAAAAAAAATAAGATAATCAAATTCAAGCTAATAGAAATGGGTCACCAAGACTGATGAATTCAAAATCAACATACAAAGTTCAACAGAATTTCCTATACATCACAATACATATTATTTTTAATATTACAAGGTTTCTTAAAAGTAACAGAAAAACTATATTTAGAAAACATAAAATGTCTATTATGTATGGCCAAAAAGTATAAGCAAATATTAAAATAAAAGTGAATGACTAAAAGATATTTACAATATACTAATCATTAAATAGTAAATGTTCACAATATAGAAATAACTATAATTCAGTAAGAAAAATACAAATTAAAGAAAATTTAGGTCAAGGAAAGAAGCAATAGAAAATTGACAAATGCTAAAAGCCTAAATGACCAAGAAACACAGAAAGATGCTCAAACTTAACCCTTTGCATTCAGATGTCCCCTCTCAGGGGACATAAAGAGATTGCTGATGATTATACACGACAAACTTATACCAGGCAGGTTTTGTTTCACATAACCTACTTGGCATAGGTTTTTTTCACATAACTTGCCTGGGACCTTTAGTTAACATTCTAGAACAGGATATTGGGTACAGATATTAACACAAGTTTAACTGGCTATGTTAAGCAGAAATGCATTGGTCCTTCCCGAAATCTGGATCTTGTGAAAGCAATGATGAGGACTAAATCATTGTCTTTGTTCCACTGTGGAGCTGATATTGGTGAGGTCCCTCTTCTAACAAGAATATCTGCCTTTGTCATTAACAGCATAAAATGTTCTTGTTCTTGAGAAGGTTGGATTTCTTCCAGGCTGTATTTTTATTTTAATTTGTGTATAAATGTCATAATATTTATTTCGACAAGGACTTTCAGAAATTTAGGATGAAATAGATATATCTGCTCAGTCTTTTGAGATCTAATTAAGATTTCTGAGAAGATTTTTGTTTTCTTCTTTTTTTTCTGTTTACATGAAGTCAAAAAATACAGAACGCTTCACGAAAACATCCTTGTGCAGGGGCCATGCTAATCTTCTCTGTATCATTCCAATTTTAGTATATGTGCTGCCAAAGCGAGCATTATTTTTATTTTCATACTTGGGAATGGTTCTCCTTCAATGTCACTGTACCCATAAAATGTCTCCATAGCCAGTGTGGATGTCTTCTTCAATGTGATCTTTTTTGATATGGATGTGTAAGAAACTAAACAGAGCTTTTTCAAAGCTCATAAATTTGCTATAACTTATGCAATACTATAATGTAAAACTATGTTCAGCTTTGTGTGTAAGTAATCAATTAAGTAATCTCCACAGTCCCTGAGGAGCATGTAATCACGGTTCTGAAAAACTTGTTTCTATCAGTCTCTGGCCATACAACCCTTTGTGCCTGATGTCAGAAGCTAAGCAGGGCCAGGCTTCCTTAGGACTTGGTGGGGAAAACACTTCTATCAGCCAATATCTGTTAACAGTTAGAAGTTGAGCTGTTTCAATTGTAGCTGATGACTTCCTCTGCCCAACTTTCTTTGTTATGTATCCACCTTGTTGATTTGTAGTTCTTTGGTTGATTTGTAGTCCCTTTGTTGATTAAATATGTTGAAAATATCCTCCCCTTGTTGTTTCCTTGTTTTTATCTTGCTCCAGGTGGGGTTGTGGGAGTTAGAGTTGAATTCATTGATGGGAGTTCAATTTATTTTTAAAGCTTTTTGTGTCTTAGGAAATATCTGCCCATCCTAAGAATATGGGCATATATATCATGGAGAGATTGTTCTCATTTAAGCCTTTGGTTTATTTGGAGTTTTCAGACCCTGTGAAAATGCCAACCATTGTTCTGTATTTATTCTCCCTGGTGGTGCCACTGAACAAGCTGGAGTAAGAGAAGCTGGAGATGAAATTCTGGCTATTAATGGGAAACCCCTGGTTGGGCTCCTGCAATTCGAAACCTGAAATATTATGACTTCTGACCCAGAAGGACCTGTGCAGTTAGTAGTTAGGAAGCACAGGAATTCTTTGTGAATTCTACCAGGAATCTCTTCCTCTCAGTTCTCTTTTTTCTTACTTCAGCAAATCGGAATGAGTTTTTTAAACAATGGGTTCTTCAAACAACCAATGTTGGCATAGACAAAGACTATAAAAATCTCCCATTTGTGCTTACACATGAAGCCTTCTTGACTCGCCACATGTGCAGCAGCAATGAATTGAACTCTGGAGCATCCAGGGAGAGAGGGTTCCTCTTGTTCCAGTGCCTGTCCCCTATCTACACGTTTCCATGGGGATACAACATGTGACATGCCCTTCTTCATCTGAAACACTTCGCTGACCTTTGTATCCCTCTTGCCAGCTCTTCCAACATACCCAATCCTCGTGATTAGGGAACGAACAAAGTCTGAGGGGACACAAATATCACAACTTAATGGAGTATAGTTTTATATAATTTTGTAAGTAAATGACACAATGCTTTTAGGCACATTCAATGGCAGGAGGTCCTGTAGGTCTGTGTACACTACCCTGAAAAGAGAATGACACTTAAAAAAGGAAGAAACTGATTTAGGACCTAATCGTTAGGCCAAGCTCAGGAATCATCCAAAAATGAAAAAAAAAAAAAAAAGCAAAATGCAGAAAGGAAGAGTTTATAGTGAGTGCAATGTATAACATACAGATGCAGAGTTCAACTCAGTGGGTGCTTAATCACTGTGAAGTGTTGATCATTTTCTATCTTTAAGGGTGTAAGTCATAAGGCTTTCCTGCAAAATAGAAGCCCTGATATATGTACCAAACAGCCATGAGCTTTGCTGCGTAGAAGCAGCAAGTTCCAGATCAGAGAGCAACTTACATCTAGTTTCTGAACTTGTCTTAAGTAAGTGCTTGAATTCAAGACTAGTCAACACAAGAGCAAGCAAAAATATCACAGTCACTGGGTGTCTATTTCTATATTTTATAAACTCCAACTACTGATTTAAACTAAATTTTTAGACATCAAGTATCTTTTTAAGTGGCCTGGGACTTATAAACATAGACATTACATGTACAATCCAAATAGAGGAGCCTCAACTCATCCTTTGGTTGGTTTTTCCCTCTTGCCCAACATGCTTATGAAATGTCACATTCTAAGTGCTGGATCTCTTTTCTTGACCTGGTATAAGGACACAACTCTGCAGTGACTGGGGTTTTTGCTGTTTTCATTTTCCTGCTTTGCAATTTCTTCCATTTGTCAAAAGCGTTTTCCTGCAGAAATGCTTCCCTGCTGTGGCTTGTGCCTCTGGTGTCACCCGTCCTGGTTGCACCTCCTCTGTGGCATGAGCTCCTTTGCAGTAGCCATTCCTGTCTCTGTGCCATGTTCCCTGCGTCATTGTGTAGTTGACTTTTCTCCCTTCCTGTTGTACGTTATTTCCTTAGTTAAATTCCAAACCTTCATCAGTTTTGTCTACCAACACGTTATGAGGAGGAGGAGGAAGAAAATGGAGAGATAGAGTGAGTCACTGTCAAGGTGAAGTAGCAGAACTACATGGTTACAATGCAGATATTTGGGGCGCAAAACAACCCATGGAGTCATGAGCGGAGAATGCATTTGTTATACCTGGTCACGGGGTGACGCTGAGATGTTATGTTGAAGATATTTCATTAAATAACTGACACAGCTTGAGTCTGTGGCTAAAACCCCCAGATTCTTGGAAGGGCTTGAGCCATCACATTAGTGCATCATTTTTCTGAGTGACCAAGTTCACTAATCATCTTTGGAGGCAGCCCAGAGAGGTCTCTCAGATAAGCTTGAAACATTTGGCTTCTCTGAACCCAGATGTCTCATTTTTCAACAGGCAATGTAAACGAGGATGCAGTACAGGAGTTATTTAGAGTTAGTTAGTTGATTTAACTTCCACTTTCACTATAACTACAGGTCAAATATTATAGAAAATTAGTGCAAGGTGCGTGCTACATTGTTTTTGAAGTCTCTATGTTCAGATTGGTTGATTCTGCTTTTTTGCCTAAATGACAAGAGGCTACTTCAAATCAAACCAACACCATGTTTTGCCTCCATTCTTATAGCTTTGCCTATTAATAAGAAATGCACAGTCCTATGTGAACAGACGGGAGTTTCTAGAGCAATGTGGAGCAATAGAAATGGTCTCCTCCTGGGAGTCCTTAATCCTCATATCTGGAGTAGAGGGTAGACCTCTGGCTTACCACATGATGTCCAAGTCATCAGTCATTTTGCTATATCTTGCCAGGTTTCCCTGGCCAACACTTGGACTTACAGGGAAGAAGCAAAAGTCAAAGCATCTTTGACCCCAGGATAGAAAGCTACCGATTTGTGTCCAAGGCACGACAATTATTTTTAATTAGTCAAATAACTTCCCACACTTCCTGAAGTGAAGACTACTGGTATTGTCCTACTAAAGTTGTCAGTGTTTTGTTTTTAAACTGGCCAGTCATTCACAATAAGCTATGAGGGTAAATATGTGCTCTGACAAGTAAATCGTCATTGCAAGAATAGACCATGAGGTTTGAGATAGGTTGGGTTTTATTTCTTTTTTTTTTTTAACTTTGAAAATTTTTTGGCTGAAGCAAGAGGATTGCCTGAGCCCGCAGGCTCGAGACCTGCCTGGGCAACTTGGCGAGACCTCATCTCTACAATAAATCAAAAAATTAGCCGGGCGTGGTAGTGCGCACCTGTAGTCCCAGC